TCTCCTAGAGCATGTTACACAGGACTTCATCCAGGCGGGGGTTGAATATCTCCAGAGAAGGAGACTCCACAGCCCCCCTGGGCAACCTGGGCCAGGGCTCTGTCACCCTCAGAGTAAAGAAGTTTTTCCTCATATTCAACTGAAACCTCTTATGTCTCAGTTTGTGCCCATTGCCCCTTGTCCTGGCGCTGGGCACCACTGAGAACAGTCTGGCTCCATCCTCATGACCCCCACCCTTGAGATATTTGTACGTGTTGATGAGGTCCCCTCTCAGCCTTCTCTTCTCCAGGCTGAACAAGCCCAGCTTCCTCAGCCTTTCCTCACAGGGGATGGGGGTAACTCAGCCGGATCTAAACCCATGGTGGAGCCGGGGCTTGCTCCCTGTTAGAAACGCTGTCAGGACGAGGCGTTCATTTGCTCGGATGCGCGATCTCTCGGCGATCCTTCAGGAGCTGGTGTGAACTTGGAGCTTTTCCAGAATTTGAACCACAAATGCATCGTGCAGAGGGCTCAGGTTTTCACACCCATCGGGTGTCTTTCGCTTGGCTGAACACCTTTCGTTCCAAGTCCATCCTTCCTGAGCAGCTCCGCCTTTGCTGCTGCCCCAGCCTTGGGATGAGCAGGAGGTGGGGAGCAAACGCCGCGGCAGGGCAGGACGGTTCTGCGGAGGCAGCTTGCCTCTTGCTGTGTGTAACTGTGGCTATAACCTGTGTCATTAACTTTCAAAACTGGAGGCTTAAAAGGATATAAAATAAATACGTGTTAGAAATTTGAAATCAATGAGGCTGCAGTGCAACAGGAAAATATCTCCCTGCTGCAAGCAGCCGCTTTGCCCAGGGTGCGGATTCTTGCAGAGACCCAGAAGATAAAACTTATGAAATAACCCATATCGGCGAGAGAGGTTGTAAAGCGATTCAAAAAAAAAAAAGAAAAAAAGCCCAACCTCTCAGTCTAGACGGATTATATTTACTGCGGTGTTTATGTGAGATAGAGGAATGCCCTAGAAAACCAGAACTGTTTTCAATTTCTGCCTCCAGCACTTGTCTGATGAGAAGGCTCTGATGTGATGGGAACGTCCTGGACTGGGGGAGCTCTGCTGTCGCTGAGCGGCTCTGCGTGGAGGGGGCTGGCGTGGGGGAGAAGGGTAAAAGGTTCTTTCTTTCTTTGGGTAGGTGAATCGGCCTGTTGGTAACGAGGTGGTTTTGCTAATCCGTCGCCACAAACCTCACGTATAATGCCAAATGCGATGGTAACGACAAGCTGCATCACGGTCATGCCTATGGAGATGCGATAGCCCCAAAGACTCTGCTTTGATCCTTTTAATTAAAAGAAAATTAAGCTGTTCTGTGTTGCTTTGAACTCTCGGTGAAGTTTGCAAGCAGTGTTTTAGCTTGGTGTTGGTTTGATGGCAAATTGGGGAGCGGAGAGAGTGCCTCGTGACAAAACCACGCTGACCGAAGTGGTGCAAACCCCCCCAAAGGTGTTTTGCATCCTGGCCTGTTCACCACAGGGGGAAGATTCACGCCTTTAATGCGTTGATTTACCTAACAAATGTGTTAGGATTCTAAGTATTTGTGAGGGATTTGGAAAAAAAAAAAAAATTGTTTAAAAATACAGCGATAAATTAAAGGTATTTTGTGGAATAGGGTGAGGATGCAGAAGGAGTTGGCTTGCTCGGCAGAGTCAGTCTATCCCGATGAAGGACGTAGGTGATGCGGCCTCAAAAATGAAGGAGATTTTTATTCTTTTCATCTCAGCCCCTGTGCTGCCAGGAGTCACCATTGGAGCGAGACCGTCTGGAGTCCTCTGACTTCAAAATCCCCGACGCTCGCAAAAAAACCACCCAATTATTGCTATGGCCAAACCCAGGATTTTCTTGAAAGAGAAACATGATGTCACTCTGCTGGTTGAACCATCTGAATAACCGAGGCTGGTCCCTAGAGGGGTGAGATTTCTGCCTCTTCACGTGGGCTAAGGTTAAAGATGAGCAAGGCTTTGTGGAAACGGTCCCAGGGAATGGCCTGGGCTTGGGAACTGGATCTGAGCTGGGTCGGGAGCTGCTCCCATGGCTGAGCCCCAGGACTGCTGGAAACGGGCTGTACGGGATGGTGTCCACGGGTCCGTTGCGTTCGCCGTGCCTGCAGCACCTGGGAGGTGCGAGGATAAGGGAGCAAATGGGACTTCAGTTGTCCGTTATTTCAGACCCCAAAGCAAAAAAAAAAAAAACCACACCCCTTTTTTTCAATGTCCCAATCTTTTGTTTGGGATGTGTGTATCCACAGCCGTACGCACAGTAAGCGATGGAACGGGTGCCCCTTCTGTAGGGAGCCAAATGGGATCGTGCTGGAAACGGTTAAAAGTTCAACACTGGGCTTCTGTAGAACATCAGCTGTAACCTGTGTTTGGCTTCGCCCTCGAAAGGGAAACGGCCTGGTTTAAGTTTTCCAGCCCTTCTGCAGCGTTACCTTATGGGAGGTTTGTTTTTCAAAAGGGCGTTTGTTCCTGGTGCGCAGCTGGGAACACAGGAGTCCTCGCGGGGCACCAGGAGTCGGACATCTTCGGTAATAACAAATAAACTAACGGGTGGCTTCTCAGTGCAAGTTTCTGCGTTCCCCTTAACTTGTCTCACATGTGAATTTAACTCGGTAAATCCCAGTTAAAATTTGTGCCCATCTTGCTCATTTTTTCCCTCCCTTTCTTTTTTGATTCCTCCAGTTTCTCTGTTTGAAGAACATCCGAACCTTCCTAAAAGTGTGCCACGACAAATTTGGGTTAAGAAACAGCGACCTGTTTGATCCCTTTGACCTCTTCGACGTACGGGATTTTGGAAAGGTAAGAATTACTCCTGAGCTGTTGGGAAGCGATGGTCCTGGCGCCGGGGGCGGGGGGGGTTCTCTGGATTTGTGCGGCAGGTTTTGGATGAAAATATGAAGGCTTTCTGGTTTTCTGAGCAGCTCTTGCACCCTTAACCCACGCGCTGGGCGCCTGTTCCCCTGTGCGTGGTAGCTTGCACGCCTAGGGGTTGGCTCTGCTGTGTCCTTAGTGAAGGGCGATCAAGCCCTCAAGCTTTCTGCTTTAGATTACAAAGCCTCTGGGATCAGTCTCTAAAGTACGTGGAAAAATGTCTTTTTTGGGGGGGAATCACCACATTGTATCTGTTCATAAGAGCAGCTGGAAGGGGCTGTAGCCCCAGGGAGTGGGTGCTGGGCTGGGGTCAGGACTTGGGGTCCTCTTCTAGCTCCAGCCACCTCGCTGGGCGACCGGGGCGAAGACACGCCATCGCCTTGCCCG